GGCCTACAAGGAGTGCTTCATACTCTGCAACATTGTTGGTGGCTTTGAATTCGAACCTCACGGTCGAGGTGAGTTTGTGACCCTCGGGGCTGATGAGGACAACCCCGGCACCTGAGCCGACCTCCCCAGCTGAGCCATCGACGAAGAGGCTCCATATGGGGGGTTCGACGGATTCCATGATTTCATCCACCTCGGGTAGATTGACGAATTCAGCAACAAAGTCAGCTAAGGCTTGCCTTTTGATGGATGCCCTAGCTTTGAACATAAGGTCAAATTCACTTAGTTCCACTGCCCATTTCAACAATCTTCCCGAGGCATCGGGCTTTTGGAGTACTTGCCTCGGGGGAAAATTTGTAAGTACATGGATGGTATGAGCTTGGAAGTAAGGTCTCAATTTCCTAGAGGCTGTGATTAAGGCCAAAGCAAGCTTCTCCATATCGGGGTATCGGGTCTCCGGTGATAGGAGCGCTTTACTCGTATAGTAGACGGGAAGCTGGGTGGACCCCTCTTCTCGAATCAGAACCGAACTGATGGCGTCATTGGAGACGGCAAGATATAGTTGCAAGATGTCGCCGGGCTTCGGCTTGGAGAGGAGGGGGGCCTGCCCCAAATGCCTTTTGAATCCTTGGAAGCCTCTTCACATTCCTCTGTCCATTGGAATTTCTTCCCAGCCTTGAGCACTTTGAAAAATGGGAGGCATTTGTCAGTAGCTTTGGAGACGAAGCCACTAAGTGCTGCCACTCGTCCAGTTAAGCTTTGCACCTCCTTTGGCTTTTGAGGGGACCTCATCTGGCATAGAGCCTCAATCTTCTCGGGGTTTGCTTCAATTCCTCGCTGGTTGACCATGTACCCCAAGAACTTGCCGGAAGCCACCCCAAAAGCACATTTCAAAGGGTTGAGCCTCATCCTGTACCTTCTCAGGATTTGGAAGGTATTGTTGAGGTGCGCTATGTGGTTCTTTGCTTCTAAGCTCTTCACTAGCATGTCATCCACGTAGACTTCCATTGTCTTGCCAATGAGGTCGGTAAACATTTTGTTCACGAGTCTTTGGTAGGTCGCTCCGACGTTTTTTAACTCGAAGGGCATCATTCTATAGCAATAAAGGCCTCGATCCGTGATGAAAGAGGTGTGCTCTTCATCGGCGGGGTGCATGGGGATTTGGTTGTAGTCGGAGTATGCATCCATGAAGCTCAACAGCTCGTGCCCAGCCGTGGAGTCCACCAATTGATCAATCCTTGGAAGCAGAAAGCTGTCTTTCGGGCAAGCTCTATTGAGGTTGGTAAAGTCGATGCATACTTTCCATTTGCCATTGTGTTTCTTAACCAAGACCGGGTTGGAGACCCACCTCGGATAGGTGGCCTCCCTGATGAAGCCATTTTGGATGAACTTCTGAACCTCTTCCTTTAGGGCCTCATACCTCTCAGGGTTGAGGGCTCTCCTTTTTTGTCTATGCGGGGAAACATTAGGATCAATTTTCAAGTGGTGGCAGCTGATCTTAGGGTCTATGCCCACCATGTCCTCATGCCTCCAAGCAAAGACGTCAAGGTTCTTGCCTAGGAAGTCCTTAATCTTTTCTCTCAAAATGTTGGATAGGCCTCTGCCTACTTTCAACACCTTGGACGGATCTCGGGGGTTGGCTGAGAAGCTTTCAAGTTCCTCTACAGGGGTTGCTTGAGGCTCATGTTCCATTATGCGGGGGTCGATCTCATCAACGATCAGCACCTCCTGATTAAGCGGTGCGTCAATCATATCAACATCTTCCTGGTCAGTAGGAGCGTCACCTGGGACATCTGCCATGACCACATCAGCCATGATCACGTGGACGTCCCGGGGCTCTACCTTCTTAATGGAGCTTAGATAGCACTCTCTCGAGCCTCTCTGGTCGCCTCTCACCGTTGCCACCCCATTTTCTGTTGGGAATTTCATGCACAGGTGGTGGATGGAGGTGACTGCTCCCAATTCCTTTAGGGCCGGTCTGCCCAAGACTCCGTGGTAAGCCGACCGGCTGTCAACTACGAGGAATTCCATGAAGTTCATCGTAGTTTGAGGAGACTCTCCCATCTCCACTGCCAGTGTTATCTTTCCCCTCGGAGTGATGCTATCTCCGATAAATCCGTACAATGGAGTGGTAGTGGGCGTCAACTGATGGTCCAATATCATCTTGTCAAAGGCGGACCCGAATAGGATGTTGACGGAGCTGCCGTTGTCGACTAGCATTCGTTTGAGCCCATTTCGGGCTATGACAGCCCTCACCACCAGCGCATCGCAATGGGGGTAATGAACTCCTTCGGCGTCTTCCTGGGTGAAGACAATGGGTGGTACTTGATTTCTTCGAGAGCTACTATCCACAATGTAACTCGTCAGAGGGGGGTGCTTAGCCTCCCTAGCATAGTTTCTTTTGGCGTTCCGTGTTTCACCGCCAACATAAGGGCCTCCAAATATGGTATCTATCTCGTGGATAGGGGCCTCATCTTGAGCTTGCCTATTTCTTCGGTGTCTACGCCATCCCTGGGCCTCTCTGTGTCTTGCTCTCTTCGTCTTGGGGATACATCCCTTTGACGAGGAGGGGTCGCCTCACGCCCATGTCGGTTGTCTTGCCTGGGCGGGGGCCTATTCGCCTGAGGCGATTTATGTCTTTCTCTGGCGGGTTCCTGTCGGAAGCGATGTGCATAGTCTCTGTAATCCGCAGTGTCATGCTCGTAGGACCTGTGGTGCAAACAGTATCCAAGGAGGTTCGGATTGGACCTATTTCTTGGTGCAAAACCTCGATCCCGGCCTCTTCCTCTACGGGGTCCCTGCTGGGCCTCCATCTGATGTGGGTCAGCAGTTGGGTTGACATCCTCATATGCCAAAGTTGGAACCGCGTTCAGAGTTGTGGTGGCCAGAGCTTGGCCGGAGTTCTCGTTTCCGGCTCGGTTCATCTGGTAGTCCATGAGGTGGGAGGTCGGACCCCTACCTCACTGTCTTTGAGGAGGTGGGAGGCCTCTGCTTGCCCTGTTCCTATACTCAATCAATTCTTCATTGATTATCTCCCTTCTCATCATCTCCAGTAGGGCGTCATAGGTGGTGGGGTCTTGATTCTGCACATCCCTCCAGAATAGTGTTCATGTTCAAGCCTCCTCTCAATGCAGATAGTGCTTCTCTGTCGGTGACTTCTACGCAGTAGGTCATCTCGTCGGTGAAGCGGGATAGGAAGCTTTTCAAGGACTCGCCATGCGCCTGTCTCATGTCTTGAAGACGCTGGATGGGGGCCTCCCCTTCCTTGCTCACTGCCAACCTCTTTAAGAAGGTTATCTTGAACTCGGGCCAGCTTCGGATGCTCCCAGATGGTAGCCTACTATACCAGATTTCAGCCGCTCCACTGAGGGTTAAATGGAATGCTCTGCACTTCACGGCTGGGGTGGCACCCCTCAGGCTCATGTGAGTTTTGTAAGCACTGAGGTGCTTTTTCGGGTCACCTCTTCCATCATACTTTGGTATTTTTGGCATGACGTAGTGGCTCAGGACCTGGGCATTTCTTAGTTCTCTTGAGAATGGTAGGTTCTCATCATCATCGTCCAAGTCACAGGACCTCTGCTGCTCGTCAGAATCATAGTCATCGGCCTCGTACCTTGGTTGTTGGTTAGAGGGTCCGGGCCGGTTCCTAGCCTCTTCCTCCCTCCTCTGCGGCCTACTTCTAGGCGGGATAGCGCGGGGGGCATTTTCATGCCTTCTCTCCGGCTGATGGGGCATCGGAGGTGGAGGCTGTGGCCTCGTCCGAGGCTGCTGAGACTGCTGTTGACTGGGCCTCGGTTCGGCAGGCTGATTCTATCAAAAATACTTCCTGCTCTCATATGTCTTGGGTCTTGCTCATATGGAGGTGGAAAGTCATCATGGCTCATTTGGACCTCGGTGGGTCAGCCAGATGCAAAGTTGGAGGAAATGTCGACTCCCACTTCCTTCTCGAACGGGCTTTCACCTCGGCCATAGTCTGGCGAGGCAACCCTATGACTCTGGACCTCGTCCTCTTGCTGATAGTGCCCGCGGGGGGCGTATGGAGGAATGGGGAAGCCTCCTTGGTCTTGCATTTGGGCCATGAGTTCCCTCATGGCCAAGTTTTGGTTGGCTATATCCCTCATGTTGGCTGCCATGGTAGCCATTTATCTTGATAGTCGTGCTGTCGCACGCATCCCACGTCTCCTTTGGTGGTGGTGGAGTCTCGTTCGAGCTGCTGGGGCAGCAGGCTGGAGAGGCACATTCGTGCTTTCTCTTACCCTCCTTGGGGGAGTATCTTCGTTAGAACTCATTTTTCTTTTATCAGACTTAGATTTCTCACCCGTGCTTGCGTGGACGAATGTCCAACAGATGCCGGTCTCACCCGCGCTTGCGTGGGCGAATGTCCAACACGCTAAGATACGTGGACGGTCTAAAACGAGCGGTTCAAAGGGGCATGGGAGTAGCCCAACGACGCGGGACGATGACGTTCGAAATCCGACGGGTTGTTCGTAATCCGATTGTACAATAATTACCAACCGGTGCTCATAACTGTATATGTAAAAGTGTATAAACTCGATTTGTGTATTGCAAGTAAAATGAGAGAGAGTTGAGTAAATGTAGTCTTTAGTATTGATTCTTGCCTTAGCCTTTGACATTACACAATGGAAGTATTTATAGTGATACATATGAAATGGGAGCCCTTGGATGAAGTGGCACGTGGCCTCATCTCTTTAGTTCAAACGTCTTTTCTTAGGTATGGGGCTTGACTTGCTAGCTTGCGGCGCATTTATTGCTTGCGCAGGTCCTCCATACTAGTGAGAAGACTTGACCTTTATGCTTGTGATAAACGTTCCATCAGTCATTTGAATAAGATCTCTGAGTAGGCGATCTCTTGGGAGAAGTGATTGTGGAGGAAGCTCCTTGTGGTTAAGAGGCTCGAGCAGTAGCTTCGGGGCTTCGACCATATGACAAAAACTTCCACTTGAGGACCTCAGCTAAATTCAATAGGTTCCATACTTCGGGTCATGGGGCTCGGTAGTTGGACTTCGGCAGAGTACATCGGATCGAGGAGCGTCGGTGAATGGACCTCGGCTTGAGGCACTTCGGATATAACCCACTTCGGCAGGAATGCCACGTGGATCAGGATGAGTGGGCCATTGGCCCAGGTGGGTAGGACAGGTGTGACAACACGCAACAGAGATAACACAGGTATGCAAATTGTTTCTGTTGTACTCTCGGAAGAGAATTATTCGACGTGGAGTCGAGCTGTGGAAATGGCATTGAGTGCGAAAAACAAAGAAGGTTTATTGATGGTTCTATATCAAAACCTTCTATACATTTACCTCTATATGCTGCTTGGTGTAGATGTAATCACTTTGTGTCCTCATGGATTATAAATTCAATCCCCAAGGAGTTATATCCTAGTGTTATGCACAAGGACCCAGCTCGTGAAATCTGGCTTGAACTGAAGGATAGGTACAGCCAAGGAAATGGGCCTCGGATATATCAGTTGAAGAAGATGATTGTTTCAATTTCACAAAGGAATGGATCTGTCAGTACATACTTTAACAGGTTGAAAGGGTTAAGGGAAGAATTATCGAACTATAGACCGCAAATTCACAATCCCTACTTTGAAGAGGAGCAGATCTTGCAATTCTTGATGGGATTAGATGACTGCTACGTACGTAGCCTGATTTTGTTGATGGAGCCATTGCCTTCATTGAATAAAGTGTTTGCACTAGTTCAACAAAATGAGAGACAGTGAGATGTGGCTGCAAGGAATCAAAATAATGCTGAAGCTACTGCACTTGTAAGTAGAATGATAGCTTGTCAAATGAATTTGGAGGTAGTCAAAAGTCTGTATGGTAATCAAGGCCTTAAGAAGGAAAAACCTAAATGCAGTTATTGTGGTATGCTCGAACACTTGCAAAGTGTTACAAGCTCCATGGGTATCCCCCAGGCCACAGACTGGCAAAGGATAAAATTAAACAACCTATCTCCAGTGCCAATCAAGTTACTGGAATTACTACATCTCACAACCTGTCAAATGCACTTTCAAGCTTGACTATTACACCAGAGCAGTTATTAATATACTAAAGCCACAACTTCAAACTCAGTTATCAAATCCGACTTTCCATCCTGGTATCGCTGCAAATCAGAGTTACACAGATCTGGCTGTTGGTCCAACTGATAATGGTGTGCAAGCATCTTCACTACAAGTACCAACATTGCCGGACGTGTCATCCTTATCAGGTAATACATTTTGTTTAGCCGTATCAGAAGTACAGGAAAAGTGGATCATTGATACTGGTGCCACTGACCATATGGTGTGTTCCATAAACCAGCTGTCCACCATTACTGCCATGATAAATGCCACTGTTAAACTTCCAAGTGGCGATGAAGCTCTTGTGACGCACATATGAACTGTAAAGCTATCTGAAAAAACTTTCACTAACCAATGTGTTATGCATCCCCTCATTCCAATGTAATCTAATATCTGTCAGAAAACTCATTTCCTCTCATCATTGTTGCTTATTATTTCTGTTCAATCATTGCTTCATCCAGGACCTCTCTACATGGACAACGATTGGAGTGAGGAAGCTTGAGGCTGGCTTATATCATTTCCAGTCTAACACTCCTTCAAACGGTGGTCCATCCCCCAAGAATTGCTCCACAAAATCTGCATTTTACTAGTTCAACTCACCTTTTTCTACTTTTCTTTAGTCTGGCTGTAATACCTTTACTACCACTGTAATTCCTTTTGAACTGTAGCATTACAGATTAGGGCCTGCTTCTCATGATAAGATTTCTATTTTACACAAATATGTACATGAAATTGTATCACATTCCAATTTTCACTGTAATGTTTGCCCCATGGCAAACCAACACAGATTAGCTTTTCCTAATAGTACTCATGTCTCCTGTTTAATCTTTGAGCTTATTCATTGTGACATTTGGGGCCCCTATCAAGTTCCATCTCTAGATGGTTCACAATATTTCCTAACAATTGTTGATGACTACAGCAGATCTACTTGGACCTTCCTGATGAGAAATAAATCATAAACTAGAAGCCTCATTCAAACTTTTTTCCACATGGTTAATACTCAGTTCAGCACCAGAATCAAAATTGCGAGATCTGATAATGGTACAAAATTTTCAATGAATGATTTCTTTAATTCCAAAGGGGTTTTACACCAAGTTAGCTGTGTTGAAAGACCATAGCAAAATGGCATTGTGGAGCGTAAACATCAACACTTGCTAAATGCTAGAGCCTTAAAGTTCCAAGCAAAATTACCAGATGAATTTCGGGGAGACTGTGTTCTTACAGCAACCAACATTATTAATCGTATTGTTTGTTCTGATTGTGATTTTAGTATGCAGCGGAAATAAGGATAGATTCTATTAAGACCGGATCAGTTTAGTAATAAGAACAGAACAAAGTATATTTTGAGAGAAACTTTTTTTTTATATATGAATTATTTGATTTGAGTACATGACAAACCTATTTATGGGATAGCATAAGACTACTAAAAGTCACACAATTAAGAAGAATAATAATGACTAATAATGATGGTGAATGCATCCATCTCTTCATCTTCCTCTTCAACACTCTTTATCTTCCTCTCTAACACTCTTCATATTTCATCATGTGGAGAAAACCAAAAGTCTTCAATAATCAACATTCTCCTCCTTGAAGCTTTTGGGTAAAACTCCAATCTTCAATCTTAAGTCTTCAAACCTGGATTTGGGCAATGCTTTAGTGAACATATCTGCAATTTGAGATTCACCTGGACAATATTGGAGATGAACTTCTCCTTCTTTCTCAGCTTGTCTGATAGCATGGAACTTCACTTTAATAGGCTTGGTTCTTCCATGATCAACTGCATTCTTTGCAACAGCAATGGCTGATTGATTATCCACCATGATAGTTGTAGGATCATCTTGACTTTTCGCAAGATCATTAAGAATTTTCCTCAACCAAACGGCATGATTTACAGCTGATGATGATGCAATATATTCAGCTTCTGCTGTGGATTGTGCCACTACTTCTTGCTTCTTTGAATTCCAACAGAATGGTCCCGAACCAAGTGTAAATAGATAACCACTCGTGCTCTTCATATCATCCACGGAACCTGCCCAATCACTATCTGAATATCCAATCAAATTTGAGCCAACTCCTCCAGCAAAATAGATGCCATGATTTATTGTTCCTTTGATATACCTAAGGACCCTTTTGGCAACTCCAAAATGTGTTTGTGATGGCTTACTCATGAATCTAGAAAGTAAGCTTGCCGCAAACATCAAATCTGGTCTTGTTGCTGTCAAGTACAGTAAACTTCCAACAAGACTCCTATATTCCTTCTCATTGATTGGCTGGTCTCCATCTTCTTTGGATAATTTTGTGTTCAACGCAACTGGTGTATCAACTGGTTTACACTGCTGCATCTTGAACCTCTTCAAGATATCACTTGCATATTTCTTTTGTGAAATGAAAATACCATTTTCTGTTTGCTCAACCTCAATGCCCAAAAAATACTTCATCTCTCCAAGATTTGTCATCTCAAATTCTTCCTTCAATTTATCAGCAAACAAATCAATTTGCTTTTTACTGTTTCCTGTGATGAGTAAATCATCCACATACATGGATAGAATCAAGATATCAGAATTTTCATCACTCTTCACATAAAGAGTATGTTCATTTTCACTCCTCCTGAATCCTTTAGCGCATAGATAACCATCTATTTTGCTGTACCAAGCTCTTGGCGCCTATTTCAAACCATACAAGGCCTTTTTCAGCTTGCATACATGATCAGGATAGATTCTAGACTGGAAACCTTTAGGTTGTTCAACAAAAACATCCTCCTCCAGTTCACCATTGAGAAATGCGGATTTTATATCCAGCTGATGTATCTTCCACTTCTTTTGTGCTGCTAGTGCAATCAATAATCTGATGGTGTCAAACCTTGCAACCGGTGCAAAGGTCTCAAAATAATCAACACCACTTTCTTGTGCAAATCCTCTAGCAACTAACCTTGCTTTGTATTTGTTCACTGTGCCATTTGGATTCATTTTTGCCTTGTAAATCCACTTCACTCCAATCACTTTTCTTTCATCAGGACGAGGTACCAATTCCCAAGTCTGATTTTTATGAATCATCTCCATTTCAGTTTCCATTGCATCAACCCATTCAGAATGTTGTTGTGCCTCTTCATAACTGCTGGGTTCAACCACTGCCATATTACACCTCTGATAAATCTCATTCAAAGATCTGGTTCCTCTAGGAGCCGAACTAGATCTTGAAGATTCAAAATTTTCTGCAGTAGGTGCGATAGATTCTATCTCGGAAGACTGAACTTTTGGTGTTGGAGTTGAAGTTTCCACTGGGATAGGAGGAAAAACTGCTACCTGTTGCTGTGTATTGGTTTCATTAAAATTTCACTTAGAACTTTCATCAAATTTTACATCACGGGATATCACAACTTTTCCAGTTTCTGGAAGATAGATTTTATAGCCCTTTGTCTGTGAACTATAGCCAATAAAGATCCCCTTCACAGCCTTTTGCTCCAACTTGCTTCTTTTCTGATATAGGACATGAACATAGCACAAAGACCCAAAAACTTTCAGATGCTTGGCTGTAGGTTTCATTCCACACCATGCCTCAATAGGTGTCATATTTTTCACAGCTTTTGTAGACAACCTATTTTGCAAATAAACGGAAGTATAAACTGCTTCTGCCCAAAACGAATTTGGAAGTCCCTTCTCAGCTAGCATACATCTGGCCATCTCCATGACAGATCTATTTTTCCTTTCTGCCACTCCATTTTGTTGCGGAGTGTAGGGAATGGTAAGCTGCCGATGAACTCCATAATCCTCACAGAATTGATTGAAGTTGGTAGATGTATACTCCTTGCCATTATCCGATCTCAAGGTCTGAATTTTACATCCAGATTGTGCCTCTACCATATTCTTGAATTTTTTGAACACATTGAACACATCTAACTTATTTCTCATGAAGTACACCCAACACATTCTTGTAAAGTCATCAATGAATAGCACAAAATACAAATTATGACTCAAGGATGGAGTTTTCATGGGACCACAAATATCAGTATGCACAAGCTACAATTTTCCAGATGCCATACTAAAACTTCTATTATGCATAGGCAAACTAGCAATTTCAACATCATGAGGATCATAGATTTTGCATTTCATATCTCGAAAATGCACAGCATATTTCTTTTCAAGCATTTGACCCACACTTAGTAAATTTGAATCCAAGCCAGGCACTAAAAGTACTTCATCAATATATTTTGTACCTTTCTTTGTTTGGATAGCAATGATACCCTTACCTTTGGCTGATAGGACTCCTCCGCTTCCAATTTTCACCGTGGCCTTCACATTTGTGTCTAAATTGCGAAAAATCTGCTCCATATTGGTCATATGATTGGTGCAACCACTGTCTACAAACCATGTTTCCTTGCTACTCAATTCAGCTCCATGAACAGCTACAAACAAATGGTTTTCACCATTCCTTTCATGCGCAAATGCTGCTTGCTGATTTTGATTTCTTTGTTGATATTGTGGTTGATTTAGATTCTGCTTTTTGGCTCTACAAAACTTTTCAATATGGCCCACTTGCTTGCAAAATTTGCATTGCTTTGTCTTCCAACACTTCTTCTCAAGATGGTTGGTTTTTCCACAATGAATACAAGGAGAAAATGAGTCTCCTTTGCCTTTCTTCTTCCCTTCTTGGTGTTGTTTTCCTCCACCTTTACTTGAACTTTGCGGTTTAAACTTTGCCGCAAGAGCTCCTTCAATAGTTACCTCAGATCTTGACGTTAACCTTTGCTCATAGGCTAACAAAGCACCTGTAAGTTCAGTTAAAGAAAGTCTTGACAGATCCTTTGTATGCTCTATAGCCATGGTAACAGCATCAAACTTTTCGGGTAAGGTAATCAACATTTTTTGCACCACTCTTTTGTCTGGTACGTCCTCTCCATTCAATTTAAGCTGATTCACCACATTAGCCACTCTAGAAGAGTAGTCCTTTACGGATTCAGCATCCTTCATCCTTAGATTTTCAAACTCACTGCTCAAAATTTGCAATCTTACTGCTCTCACTTGCTCAGACCCTTTGTACTCTTCTTGTAATTTATCCCAAGCCTCTTTTGCTGTTGTAACAGCCACAATCTTGGGAAAAATTGTCTCAGTGACAGAAGAGTGCAAGAAGGTAAGAGCCTTCATATTTTTTATTCTACGATCCTTCTCTTACCTCATTTGATTCACAGTAAGGTCTGCATCCAACTCCTGTGGAGTATAACCTTCTTCAACAATCTCCCATAGATCATGTGCCATCAAGAAAGCCCTCATTCTGACAGACCAATACTCATAGTTTTCGCCTCCAAACATCATGGGGATAGGCATTAAAGCTAGAGTAGAATTTGCCATTTTTCCTCTTTCTCACAGCCTTTAAAATCAGGAGAGCTCTGATACCAAATGTTTGTTCTGATTGTGATTTTAGTATGCAGCAGAAATAAGGATAGATTCTATCAAGACCGGATCAGTTCAGTAATAAGAACCGTATCCCCAGCTCTTCCCTATCCAGCAAATCACCCTATGAGATTTTGTTCTCAGTAAACCAACTTGCTCTCATATGCGAGTTTTTGGCTCTTTATGTTATGTTTCCACCCTTCAAAGAAACGGATCTAAATTTGATCCTCGAGCAGTTCCTTGCATTTTCCTACTACATAATTTGCATTCACATTTACCATCAGTGCCCTTTCCTACTACATTACCTGATACTTCTCTTGTATCACCTCCTAATCCTCCTGCTGCTCCTTCCAATTTTCATCCAACTTCTCTCCACAGGTCCACTAGACCTAGAAGACCCCCTAGCTACCTCCAGCAATTTCACTGCAACCTTGTTTATCAACAATCCTCTACCTTGCCCATTTCTTCCCACGAAGCTAGAAACCCTTGTGATTTATCCAACTACTTAGGCTATGACCTTCTTTCCCCAACTCACAAGACCTATGTGATGTCACTATCTACCATTGCTGAGCCTTGAAATTTTTTGGAAGCATCCCAGTCTCCAGCATGGTGTCAAGCCATGAATGATGAATTCCAGGCATTAGTTGCTAACAACACCTGGACTGTTACCACTTTACTTGCGAATAAGAAGCCTGTGGATTGCAAGTGGGTTTATAAGGTCAAACTGAGGCAAGATGGAACTGAAGAAAGAAAGCAAGCCAGATTTGTTGCAAAAAGATTCACTCAACAAGCAGGCCTCGATTACCAGGAGACATTCTCCCCTGTTGCCAAGTTAGCTTCAGTCAATTTCCTTTTAGCGGTTGCCGCTAGCAAGAATTGGCACCTACACCAACTAGACATCAACAATGGTTTCCTCCATGGTGATCTCGAGGAGGAAGTATATATGAAGATGCCTCCGGGTATGAGCAGCAGGGGGAGGATGGTACCACGTTAGTTTGTAAACTCAACAAATCAATATATGGGCTTAAGCAAGCCTTAAGGTAGTGGAACACTAAGCTATCATTATTTATCATCTCTCAGGGATTTGTTCAGTCTAAATCTGATTATTCTCTTTTCAATAAAAGGACCAGCTACTCATTCACTGTGCTCCTCATATATGTTGATGATATCATCATAGGAAGAAATGATCTCCCTAATATCGAACAGTTTAAGAAAACTCTTGATAGCCAATCCTGATTGAAAGACTTGGGAGTTCTAAAATATTTCTTGGTGCTTGAGGTGGCTAGATCATCTAAGGGAATTGTTGTTTGCCAGTGTAAGTATGCTTTAGAAGTCCTTGAAGATGCCGGGTACCTGGGGTCAAAACCTGCTAAATGTTCTATGTTGCAAAACTTAAGGCTGACCAAGGATGAGGGGGAGTTACTTAATGATCAGGGTATGTATCGAAGGTTGATTGGAAAGCTATTATATTTAACCATCACCAGGCCAGATTTGTCATTCTCAGTGCAGGTTCTGAGTCAGCACCTTGAATCTCCAAGAAAACCTCATGTAGAAGTAGCACTACATGTGTTAAGATATGTGAAGGGAACACCTGGGCAAGGACTATTCTTCCCTGCAGAATCCAGCCTAGAACTCGAAGGATTTTGCAATGCTGACTGGGCATCTTTTGCAGACACCAGAAGATCGGTTACAGGCTTCTGTACATTTCTTGGAAGTTCCTTGATATAATGGCGCTCGAAGAAACAGCATACCATCTCCAGGTCGTCAGCTGAAGCGGAGTACAGGGCCATGGTTACAGCTGTCGGTGAAATAACTTGTCTCAAAAAGGTGTTAACAGATTTGAGAGTGGATCACCCTGAGGCTGCCCTTTTATTTTGTGATAATCAAGTGGCAATACACATAGCTAGCAACCCCGTCTTCCATGAAAGGACAAAACACATAGAATTGAATTGTCATTTAGTGAGGGAAAAGGTGCAATCAGGCGATATAAAAATCATGCATTTATCCACATCAAACCAACTGGCAGATTTGTTGACAAAGGCTTTAGGAGGAACCAGATTTCGAATGTTGTTAGGCAAGATGGGTGTCTTGAACATTCACCAGCTATCTTGAGGGGGAGTCTTGCTGGTTATGCAGCATTGGGGGTATTTATGTACTTAGCCAAATGTTAGTTAAAGGTTATTGGAGCTAGTTGAAGGCTGTTAGAGCTAATGAGCTGTCATTTATATAGCTGGCAATTATTGTACATATAGATTTGTATATAAGCGATTGTAGATGCTCGCAATATCAGTAAGAGAAAATTTTTCTTCTTCATCCATGTTTTCTCTCTCTACCTGTCAGCAAATTCTC